GGCTGCAACATTTACATTATGTGCTTTAATTATACCAAAGAGGAGCCTAATTGGTGGAAATATCTACTGCTGGAAGACAGAAGTGCGTCTGCATGAGTTGATAGTGAGCCCGCAGCTCTTCTTGACCCATATTAACGCGTGCAGAGATCTGCTGATCAGCTTGAACCTACGCTGGGATGCCGGCTCTCGCCAGAACTTCAGCCTTCATGGCGTAAAGGCGTTCGCTTTTACTAACACCAAGCTTGATCTTCACCCGGTCGTGGGCGTTGTCTTGGAAGAAGAAGCCATTGTGGATCACAAACTCGGCATTGGATCGTGTGCCATAAAAGATGTAGATCTGTGGAAAGAGCATGTCGTCAGATTCTACACAATACTTGGAGTCCTGCCCGCAGTGAGCAGGATCTACACAAACTGGCAGTGTGAACGCAGTATATCCAACGTGGTATATATCTTAAGTTTGTTTTAAAACCCCTTAGAAATATGTTTGCTTTAGTCAGCTTATTTCTAAGCTACTTGTTTGTTTGTAATTCTTAAAATTTAAGTCAGTTTCATTTGTATTGCCCCAAATCACAACAGCAGCGCGTCAAGATGCTTTATATGAATGCTACAATGATACAAACACCTGTGTTATAAATGTCAAAATAGAGACATAGACGGCATGAATGTCACATGACTATGTCGCCTCGTTTTTGCATTCACACTATTGGGTGTCCACGCTGCCTGCCCGCCTGTTTGCTCACCCCTCAGCCATAAAAATGGCAAAAGGCCGAGCACACAGGCGCGTCGCAGGGCTAGCACACGGGCGCGTCGCAGGGCTAGCACACGGGCGCGTCGCAGGGCTAGCACACAGACAGACACTGGCTGAAGACTAAGACTGAAGCTTGGCACTTGATCCGATGTTAAATATGATCAACCATCTCTGTTATTGAGCGACAGCTCAGGTGGTAATTAAGCCATCACTTGACCTGAGCTGTCTTAGCTAATTACACGTTCATTTCCAACTTTCCTTTGAAGGATTCATGAAAGAGTAGCTGTAAAACTGCTAACTGTGCAGAGCAGAGCGCGTGCTCGTATGGGCTCATCCAGTGTCCTCTGGTCATTAACTTACAACATAACGAGCCTTGAAGCAAGTGTTGTCGTCATTTGGTGCTGAACTGAATTTAATAGCATAAAATATACTGAATATTGAAACAATGTGCACACAGGATTGTGGCTGCATCACTGACAATCATCAGACGCCTTCTTGGCGACAACTCTCAGTCACATATTGTTAGCGTTCATTTCCACACTTCAGGTGCTGTCACTACACAGTGGCAAGAAAACAACTAAAATATTACACAAGAGTTACCAAAGTGGTTACAATTTCTGCTGATGGAAGATAAAATGGCAGCACAGCGATATAAAAAAGGCACATAGAGTTTGTACTGAGTCTAACTTAAAGCTTAAACAGTCACCTTAATTAGATTCTATAACTGAGGCTTTCTTGTGTACATAGACATGAGACACAAAGACCAAAGTGATGATCTCGTCACCTGTTCGTTCTCCTTATAGTCCTGCAGGGCCACACATTCGCAGCGATCATCCTCGAGGTTGTATCCGGTGGTGATCTGCAAGTTTAAAAGTAATGTCATCAACGCAGCCCTCACCAAATGGATTTGCAGCAGGACGTATCCAGGCAGAGCTTTTGCTGTGGCTCCAAATGTCAGTGAGCTGCAACATATTTGACGTAATAATCTCAGTTTAGAGACATGTGAGGTCCCACAGTCCACACGCTGGCTTCCCAAGCAGTAATGTTACACTGTCACCACACACTAATGCTAATCTATACGTCACAGACAAATGCAGGACAGGGGACTAAAACTGAAGTTTGCCAATTTGCATTTAAAGGTAAATATAAAGAAAAACCTTCAGTTTGATGTAAAAAACTTCAGTAAAACATGATTCTGTTAACATCGTGCTACTGGGTTGCTTCCCATGAGCTAGATGGATGTAACCAGAGGTCCTTCAAGGAAAAGCTCACTTAGAAATAAAAATTAAGAGACAAAACTCCAATAAACTGACATCCAAGACTGAATATGCAGTGAAATGAGAAAGTGTTTTCCACAACACTCGGGTGTGGGAGGAGTTCAGTGGAACTACGGAGCAAGACGTCAGCTGGCCTCAAAGTGATTCTGGCAAACCTCAGAGAAGTCGAGAGGGGGAGTTTACACACTGTTTACAGTGGTAGTGGGACGCTCCACTGATGATGTAGTCGGGCCGTGGGAGGAACACTTTGAGGATCTCAAAGTGTGAGGAGTCGACTTGCCCGTCACGGAGCTGAAATCTCTAACGTACTTAGCCACCCCAGGGCCCTGCCACTGCGCCACTGTTTGAGATTCACCCCTGAAGCCTCTGGATGTTGCAGGCCTGCCCTGGCTACTCTGCAATACTACATGTGTTTGTCCTGTAGGACTGGCAGACGGGGGTGGTGGTTACCCTACTTAAGAAGGGTGTGTGCTCCAACTGTAGGGGAAAAAGAAAAAAACGCTTTCACACTTCTCAGCCAACCTGGGCAGGTCTATGCCAGAGTACGTACTTCTTCAGGTCCTGCACTAACAAAGCTTCATATTGTCGGCAGTAAGACTCATTTGCTGAGGGTGGTGGACGTTCTGTTCATAGTTTTTAATGGACAGAATATATGGGCGTGGCCAGGCGGTGCATCGTCTTTACTTTGGTGGTCTGGTCTGCTTGCGGACGACTTGCTGTAATTGATGGAGCCATGAATTCTGCTCAATACCAGATGATCCTGAAGGAGAACGGCTGGCCGTCAGTTTGTGCTGATGTCCAGTCAGACAAAGACTGAACAAATTTAAGGTTTTGGAGTAAAAGTCTTGTTTCAAATCACATTGAGATGCTTTGGCATGATCCGAGAAAGCTTATTCATCCTCAAAACCCTCCCACAGTTTGTCTGAATTTGAACGATTCTGCAGAGAAAAGTGGGTCAAAGTTACTTCCCAGCGATGTGAAACACCCGTCGCTCGTTTTCACAAATACTTGTTTGCAGTTTTTGCAGCCGAGGGCGGCTCCGGCAGTGACTATGTTTAAGGTGCAATCACTTTTTCATATAAAGCCAGGTAGGTCAAAATAACATTTCCTTCAATAAAATTATTTAAATCTCCAGTTTTTACTGTAAAGTATTGATTTGGGTTATCTTTTCCAATATTACTCATCAAACAAATATTGGAAATATTTGTTTGATGACCTTAAATGTAAAAAAAGAAAAGCTTTGAACACTGCATCTCTAGTTTTCCAACTTGCTGAAAATGAAACCACATACTGCTTTAATTGTATCACATGAGGAGCACAGAGTGTTTCGTGTCAGAATATTTACCTTAAACAATCAGGTTACAACACGAGTGTGTTGATGTATCCTCAATCATCCAGGTAAGAAAGTTGATTCTGTTTATCTGGATGTGTTTTCAGTAACTCTGCAGTCTCAGCTGACTGCAGCTGTCCCGACCTTATCCACGGTACATTTGCACGATGACAAAAATAGCACCACTGACTGAGGTCAACTTCGTAATCATTAATATGCAGATTATTCAATTTGATTCCATGTATATAAAATCAAATTGCCGAGAGATGCTACATATTTTAAGGTAAAGAACCTTCAATAAAACTTAAATGCAGAGTGGTGCTCGTAGCCACTGATCAATGAGCACCGTTCACAGAATTGGGGAACAGCTGCACGTAAAGCATCGACGATGGTGACAAACACTCTGCAATTCAGAGATGGCATCTCCCTCTTCACATGAACGGTAACATCCAATGGACAGAATCAATTTCCTGGAAAGTACACAAGTGTGTGTGTGTGTGTGTGTGTGTGTGTG